GAAAACTATATGCAAACATTACATGTTCTACGCTAAAAAGTCAATGGAATGTCTACTTTAATATGACATTTATCTGTGGTCTATCTTGAAACCTAAAGTGGTAAAAATGCCAGTCTTTTACTTTGGTAAAAATGCTAAAGCAAAACGAAATGGACAAAAGAAAAAGGAAAGGAGATAACAGCTGACAAGAATGTTAGTACTACTTTGGAAGCTAGAAAGGAGACAAAGTCTAGTCCTAAGCTATCCTAAGGATGTCAATAAAAATCAAAGCGTTTAGTGTGACAGAACATACAAAGTTTGGAAACTGAAGGCAATGAACCAGAATACGCTGTAGTTTCTACAGGGAGCAATTAGAACTCCAGATCCCTTTCCAACCTTATTCAAGTCATGCCACTATTCATACACCATTCTTGCCAAAGAATGATTTCATTTTTAGGGAAACTACTTCAGAGAAATTCTGTGCTTCTGAATACCAAGTGTGGCGGGGGGGCAGGTGGGAGATTGTGGGGAATGTCAGATGCATCCTTCTGAAAAGAGAAAGATTAATAAAAAGTCTACAAACTAAATTACAAGAAACACACAGACACACTCATCCCAGACTCCTCCTCCTGCTCAGCTAACAAAATACTCACAGCCAGGTTTAAAAACCCTGGGCAGAAGACTAAAAGGTTCCTCTTTAGAGAAATTTTCAATCTAAAATTTTTGTGATGCTCCCATAAAAATGGCCAGAATAACATCTGATCATCATAAAATAAAAACCTTCCTAATATACATTTTGGTGCCTCAATCTTAATTTTTTTAAATCATCAGATAATAAGAAAAGCCTATAATATAAAAGATGGAAAACAAAACAAAGAAAATAAAAAGGAAACCAAATGAAGCAAAGAAAGGGGAGTAAGAGAAAGCTTCATAGAGTCATAAATATTCTGTGAGGATGAGAAATTATATCCACAAAAGACACAGGGAGGATTTTTTAAAAAATAAATAAATAAATAAGTAAAAGAAACATCCAGAGAATAACAACAACAAAAACAGCTTTGGAAATTAAAATTATGACTAGAAAAATAAAAAAATTAAATGAAAAGTTTAAAAGATGAAACTAAGAATAATCTACTAGAAATGAAACTAAAACCATAAAGGATGAAAAACGGGATGGAAAGGTAACAAATTTGAAGAACCATTTCAATAGGTCCAACCAGCTAAAAGCTGAATAACAGCAAATTAAGCAAGAGAGAAGGAGGGAGGGAGGGAGGAAAAGACAAACAGAGGAAGAGACACAGGGAAAGAATGGAGAGGAAGAGAGACAGAGAAAGATGGAGAGAGAAAGTAAGAATTATCAAAGAAATAATTCAAAAATATTTCCAAGAACTGAAAACCAAAGTACACAGCATAAACCCAAATCATAAAATATCAGAACACACAGATAATAGGTGCAAAAAATGTCAAAACTGTGTGTGTGGAACAGGGGGGGAGAGATGGTCATATATAAAGGGTCATAGATCAGAATGGAATGGAACTTGTCAACAGCAACAATGGTAGCTAGAAAATGGTAGTAGAAAGGCTTCCGAATTTTAAGAGAAAATGACTCAAAACCCAAAAATCTGTTGTCAAATGGTATGCAATTCATACACAAATGGTCTGAAATGTATGTATGTGTAATCCATTCATTGTGCTTGACTTTAGAATTCTTTCAAAAATAGTTAACATCTAAGTTATGCTTTTCTATAACCAATGAGGAAATGCTTTTCTTTAAGAGCATTCTAAATGACTCTGAAGGAAAGTTACCAAGAAAAGTGCTCAATGCCAACAGAAAGCAGAGTTAAAAATTCGCTGTGAGTAATCCCCGTGTACAGTTCACTAAAAGAAATTTATGCCTGTCAGTTTTAGTAAGAACAAGCTAGCGACAGAATTTTCAAGTCCTAAAATTCCTCTTAATAACGAGTAAACTAAAATAGAAAAATTAAAATGAAAAGATAGATGTGATAGGAAAGATTAACTTTTTAAACAGAAAAGGATATGCCTCATTAAAATATCACTACTGCCTTGGCCAGTATGGCTCAGTTTGTTCAGCATCACCCTATGCACCAAAAGGTGGCTGATTCAACTCCTGGTCAGGGCATGTGCCACGCTTGCAGACTTGACCCCCAGTAGGGGGCATGTAAGAGGCAGCTGATTGGTATTTCTCTCTCTGTCTTCCTTCCTCTCTCTCTAAAATCAATAAAAAAATTATATATATATATATCACTACCTGATATTTTTCTTTAAGAAAATCAAAGTACTTTCACATAACTCACATATTGATATAATGAAGTCAATTCTCGCTTCATTTTACCATTGACAAAAGCCAAGTGAAGTGAATGAATTACCCTGATAAAAAATTTTGTTCCTTCCACTAGATTATATGGCCTCCAAAGTTTTAGATATTAACTGTTCTTAAGTATAAAAGAACAGGACCCCAAGATAATAAAGATTATCTAGAAAAGATCCTAATTCATACTACTATCCCAAATACTCTACTTCATAAATTACATTTAAATTCAAAACAACATTATATATAGGGAGGAAGAGAATGAAAATGAGTAAACAACCCAGTTGACTTGAATATAGAAGAAGGGGCATGTACAAATTTAGCTCTTCATCTCAAATTTTAAAGAGACTGGATGACAACATGTAAATATTTAATGATTCTCAACTATGTACCACATATCATATTACAGACATATCCTTTAATCCTCATCAACAATAGGCATTAATTCCATTTTATAGACAGGGAAGTATTCTGAGAAAGGATAAATAATTTGCCCAAGATTACAGTTAATAGGGAGAGGAAGTGCATGATTTAATTCTATAGTTGATGTTCTAGTCCAAAACTAAGTTATACACAATTTTAAAATCGAATTTTATACTTTTGCTTGAATATGTTTCTGATGCTATGGAGTCCATAATACTTCTACCAAAATAATGAAACAATACAGATTCAAGGAAAAAGGGTATTTGCCAGTTGTCTCTATGCTGTCCTGCTCAATTTGCTTATTGGTTCAGCTTAATAAAGGACACTGAAATTTAAAACATAGCCCGTGCCCTCAAAGAAGTTTTAATCCAGCAATGACATACAAGCTAAAAATAAACATACACTCTGGCCAATGTGGCTCAGTTGGCTGGAGCATTGTCCCCTATTCCAAAAGGTTATGGGTTCGATTCCCAGTCAGGACACATACCCAGGTTGTGGGTTCTGTCTGCAGTCGGGCCCATATGGAAGGCAACCAATCGATGTTCTCTCTCACATCAATGTTTCTCTCTCTCTTCCCCTTCCTCTCTTCCTCCCTCTTTTCTCCCTCTCTTCTTCCCTCCATTCCCCCTTTCCCCTCTCTCTAAAATTAATAAGCATATCCTCGGGCAAGGATTAAAAAATAAAATAAAATAAAAATAAGCATATAGATATCTATATATATAAAAGCCTAAGTGACTATCCAACCATTCGACCAGCTGACCGGTAGCTATGACATGCAATGATCACCAGGGGGCAGATGTGCAATGCAGGAGCTGCCGAGCTGCGGTGACTTGGCAGCTGTGGTTCTCGGGTGATGCACCCAGAGCCTGATTCCGAGGTGTGTAACCCCAGAACCACCCTTTCACAATCCAGAACCCCTTGGGGGCGGGGGGTGTCAGAGAGCTGGTTTCAGCCCAATCTCCACAGGCCAGGTGAGGGACCCCACCTCACAGAGGGACCCCACTCACTCCGCAGATGACCTTCAAGCCGCAGTGCCACCCCAGGTGCAGCAGGCTGGGGAGGGACTGTGGGAGGTTGGCTCCAGGGCGTGTCTGGCCCATCTTGCCCAGTCCCACCCCGCCAGCCACCTTCTAATTAATTTCCTTTCAATGTGCACGAATCAGTGCATTGGGGCACTAGTTATTATATAAAAAGCCAAAAGTGAGATGCTTTCACAGCTACAAGAAACTAAGTCCTGAATCACACAGCTGATTTCATCCTATAGGTAGTCCCAAAGCAAGGCAGACTGAGTCCTTTCCAACTCTAGACCTTGCTTATTCTACATATTGTCTATTTACCTGATCAGCTCTTCTTGGGGCTACAATTAATTTTTAGCATACTTATCATTATTTAAATGTTTGCTGAGCCAAGACTATTCTAAGAACTTAACACTCATTAACTTATTTAATTCTTACAGCCTACAAGATAGATACTATTATTTTTAACAATTTTATTAAATACCAGGGGCCCAGTGCATGAATTCATGCACCTTGAAAGGAACTGTGGGCCATGAGCCTGTGGTGGGCACAGGGGCGGGTCTCGGTCCATCCTCCGTGCCCCTGCCTGGCCCCTCCCAACCGGCAGCCCTGCTCCTGCCGCTGATGCTCCCACGCAACTACTGGGGCCAGTGATGGGCACCAGCAGCAGGTGCGAACGATGGCTCCGGCGCCAGCAGTATGTGCAAGCGGGGCAAGTGTCGGCAGCAGGTGTGAGCACCGTTGGGACTGCGGCATGTGAGAGCAAAGAATTTTCAGAACCACCAGAGGCTCACCCAGATGACAGCAGCTGGCATCCCACCTTGTCTGGCGTCCCCACTCACCTGCTCCACCATCCAGATGTGGCTGATGCCCACTATGTTCCGTAAACGCCATCTGGTGGTCAGCGCACGCATAGCAACTGGTTGTTTGTTCATTTATTGTGCCATTCAGTCTATTTGCATATTAGGGTTTTATATATATAGATAACTCACATACTGTATAATTCACTCATTTAAAGTATACAATTCAATGGTTTATAGTATAGTCACAGACATGTGCAACCATCATTAGTCAATTTAGAACATTTTATCACCTGAAAAAGAAACCTAGTAACCTTAAGCTATCATTCCCCATCCCTTATAACTCTAAGCAACCACTAATTTATTTTCTGTCTCTATAAATGTCCCTTTTCCAGATGTTCATATGAGTGGAATAACATACTGTTTGGTCATTTGTGACTAACTTCTTTCACTTACCATAATGTTTTCAAGGTTCATCCATGTTGTGGCATATGCAAGTACTTCATTCCTTTTGGTGGCCAAATAATATCCTATTGTATTGATATATTATATTTAGTTTACCTATTCATCCATAAATGAACATTCAAGTTGTTTCCACCTTTTGGCTATTAAGAATAATCCTGCTATAAACATTTGTATACTAGTTTCTGTGTTGATTTATACTTTCAGTCCTTTTGGGTTCATACCTAGGTTTGGAACTGCTGGGCCACAATGTCAGGGCAAAAATGGAATATTGGGGACTAGCTATGGTTATGGGAAATATTAATCATGCTCTGTTAACCAAGATTGCCTTGTATTGGTTAGAGAAAGGACATTCTGACCTGGCTGGGAGTTGTGTGCCCCCAGGACCTGGGAGTCAACCTTGGAACCATTCTCATTCAGGAACTACTTCCCCATGCCTGTAATCCCTACTTGCCCACGTAATCTTTGTCCTACTATATATAAGCAGCTGGTTTATGGGGGAGTTGGGGGGGAGGGGGGTTGCAGAGAAGATTCTTATGGAAGATGACCTGCTGCTCTCCCATACTGTATGATTCAACCCTGTTCCTGCTTAATTGGCTCAAGTAGTGACAGGCAGCACGGACCCATTGACTGTCCAGTTACATGACTAACTCTGTTTAATCATTTTAAGAACTACCATAGTTTCCAAAGCAGCTGAACCATTTTACATTCCCACCAGTAGTGGGATTTGATTCTAACCATCCTAATGGGTATAAAGTGGTATCTCATTGTCGTTTTGATCTGCATTTCCCTAATTACTAATGATTTTTCTCTAGTAACTAATGCTCCTTGTGTATATTAACTCCATTTTTATGAGAAAAACTGAGGTACAGAGAAATTAAATAAACTGCCTACGGCCACAAAGCTGGTAAGGGAAAAGCTGGGAGTCTAACACAGGCAGCCTGACTTAATAGCCCAGAATCTTACATTGTAATGAACGCTGCAGGAGGTAGTACTTGCATTTCACCCAGTGGAAGAGGACAAGCCTTTACCAGGTAATTTGTTTTATCAGTTAGAAAATCTTCCCAGAAGCCATTCAGACTTCTCTATCTCACTGACTAAGTTTGGGTCACATGACTCTTCCTAAACCAATTACTGATAAAAACAGGGTCATCATAATTTGCTTATATTATTCAGGATTTCTATACAAAATCAGAGCTCTTCCAGAAAGAAAGGAGATAAGAATGGCTCTTAATCAGTTGCATAATAAATGTCTGCCTCAGGTGTATATGAAAACAAAACTTGATTTTCTTGGTTATACCATCCTAGAAATGAGAGAAATGGTCAAATATAAAAAGTTATCATTTAGTAATAGTGTTAGTTGTGTAAATATGAGTAAATGGATAATAATAATAGTCAGTCAGTCAGTCAATCAGTGACTTAGCAACAAAGAAAGCAACCATTTCAATAAAGCAAAGAAAATAAGACTTGATATAGGCTAAAGTCTACCTCTGAGAAATTAAGCCTTGACTATAGGAGCAAAAACATTAAATAAGGAACATTTACTTGCCCATTTTCAAATAGCCAAAATATAAATTAACTGCAGTTTAAAACTGAAAAATGGCAAATACTCATTGAAATATAGCATTTTTAATTATAAGATTTCAAAATACCTCTTCCAATAAAATATCATTATAATAAAATTTTTCATTCACTTTAAAGCTTTGTGAGGCTTAGCTAAGCTTTTCTGAAAAATGTAAAATTTAATTGAAAATAATTTTAGGTACACCCTAGCTGGTTTGGCTCAGTGGATAGAGAGTTGGCCTGTGGACTGAAGGGTCCTGGGGTTCAATTCTGGTCAAGGACACATGCCGGGTTGCAGGCTCCATCTCCAGTAGGGAGCATGCAGGAGGCAGCCAATCAATGATTCTCTGTCATCATTGATGTTTCTACCTCTCTCTCCCTCTCCCTTACTCTCTGAAATCAATAAAAATATATTTTAAAATAATAATAATTTTAAGTGCTATTTTACATTATTTTTGCAATTGTACTCGCAAAATACAATTAGATTTCACAAACCATATTTTAAGCACTGTACTCATTCATAATGAATGGTTTTAATTTCCCATACTTTTAAAATATCTTACTTATAAATTACCATGTATGCTCCAAAAGTGATATAATACATATTAGTATTTGCTTCTTGTGGAGAGATTAGAAGATAAGTTTACCAGATCATTTAAGTGTGCATTAGAAATACTTTTAAAGTATCTATGCTGAACCCTAATTTAAAAAAAAAATTAATGGTGAGGCTTGACTTAGGGTGGTAAACACACAATACATTATAGAATTGTATACCTGAAATCTGTATAATTTTATTAACTAATATCACCCCCAATAAATTCAATAACAAAAATTAAGGAATAAAAATTTTTTTAATGTGGGGAGCAATTAGACAAATAATTACAAACCAAGCCTGCCTTTAGGTATAGGGTTTATCATGTAATTATAATACTGATCATTTAAAATTATCCAAAATGACTCCAGCATTTTAAAGAGCTAAGCAGAGTTATTTTTAAAATCAAACATATGTGCTTTTTCTGTTTATGTCTTTGGAAAGAACATTCTGTATAATGAAAAACACGACCAAATTTTTCACAGTACATCACTATAAAACCCTATAATTGACTTTTGGGGTTGGTTTACTCTATATCTATTTTTGACCATGTAGAAAACAGCAATGATGTGGTAAAAAGACCAAAATGTAAGTCCCATTGCAGGATAAGACTCCATCCTGATTAGTATAGAAGTATCATGTTTATGCTGGGAAATGTGCCCATTTTCAAAGAGAAAATTTCAGTGCATAGGAGCCACCTCTTTTTTAATCAAGCCATGTGAAAACTAGTAACTCTGGTGCCTGGTCCAGACCTTGGATAGAACCTGGATGTTGTATGTGCTGATCCCCTCCAGTAAAGGCAGCTTATGTTGATGTTCTAACTCAGCTGTGGGCAAACTACGGCCCGCGGGCCAGATCCGGCCCGTTTGAAATGAATAAAACTAAAAAAATAAAAAGACCGTACCCTTTAATGTAATGATGTTTACTTTGAATTTATATTAGTTCACACAAACACTCCATCCATGCTTTTGTTCCAGCCCTCCGGTCCAGTTTAAGAACCCATTGTGGCCCTCGAGTCAAAAAGTTTGCCCACCCCTAACTAGTTGTTTGAAATAACAGTTAATCTAATGGAAGGTAACACTGGATATTACGATTTAACACTATAAATTAACCTTTAAAAATAAAATTAACAGCCCGGTCAGTGTGGCTCAGTTATTGACCATCAACCCAGGAACCAAGAGATCACCTGTTCAATTTCTGGTCAGGGCACATGCTGGTGTTGTGGCTCAATCCCCAGTATGGGGCATACAGGAGGCAGCCAATCAATACTGTTTCTCTTTCACCAATGTTTCTATCTTTCTATCCCTCTCCCTTCCTCTCTACCCAAAAATCAGTACAAACAAATTTGTAAAAAGAAAAAAAAATACAAATTAACATTTTAAAGTTACGATTCTCATGTCTTAATAAAGATTAAATTTTAAAACTTAATCTCCCTGTAAAAGCTATGAACTCAGTTATTCCGTAACAAAACTAATTTGTCATCCCTAACAAAAGAAATTTTTCTTTATTAAAAAGTCAAAAATATCTCTGAATGAGCCCTCCTGACTTCATTAATAAAATTTACATATTAGCAAGTAAAATAAACTAAAAGAGGGAGATGGTGTGTGGTTTAAAAATCAGCCTGTAACACCTACCACAGATTTATCTCCTCTGAGTTGACTCAGCCATTCCTTTTTCTCAGTAAATAAACTAAATTCTAAGAAGGGTACTGCGGTAGAGTTTTTCAAGGGCCAAGTGAAGGAATATGTTTTAGATGGAATCTTTCAAATTGACAGCCTGCCCACTTTGGGTAGGTATTAAAGGGTCCACAGCACTTTATGAATTAGTTGTGGTTTACCTTAAAAAAAAGTATGACCCAAGTTGTCACGGTCACTGCACATTCAATGTATCCCTATCAGAAATCAATGTGCCTTTAAAAATTTTTTAAATGTTTAGAAAAGAGACAAATTGACAGCTTTCTAGTAGCACTGTTGATTGAATGGCAGTCACAACATATCATTTTAAAACCTAAAAGTATATTTAATATGTCAATATTTTTATTACTATTTAGGTCTTTCATAATGCATTATCTTTTATCCCTATCTTTCAATTGAACCATTAAAACAATGAATTAGTATTAACTGCCTAAGACTGTTTAATAGTTTTGCCAACTTCCTGGGGAGCTGTGCTACAAAGATGTTCACAGAATCCTCACTACTTTATATTAAACAAAAAACTCCTGAAAATCCTTACATGGATTACCTATAAAAAAGATCAGCTGAGTAACAGAAGAATCCCATACCAAGCTGACTAGAGAAATAAAATATCACAAACAGATATCTGCTCTCACAGTAAGAAATATGTGAAAGCCTTAGCTGAGCAACACTGGAAGTCAGGAAAATCAGAATTAGTGGCAAAGGCTTGACCCAGATGTGTCACCAACCTGGTACAGTATCTGGCAATAAATTCCTCATCCAAACAGATGAAACTGTCCACAGTATTTTACCTGCATCTCTACATGAGACAGCTTTTAGACACACTATTAAATTGTTATGGCAAAGGCAAACAAGAAAAAGTTTCCCAGCCAGCTTTTCCTTTCCTTGGCTAACTTCCTCAAGAAAACGAAGCCTATGTTAAGGAAAAGGGAATGACCTTCTCAGTAAGCGACCTATGAAGAGTAATAAGTGGGCCTACATAGTTTCTTCAAAATCACCGCACTGATCCTTTTACTGGAAATGTTTCCCAACCACATTAATCGTCTGTTTGATAACTAACTTTTGATTATTAAGCTCAAACTATTATGGCAGTAGTAAGCCTTAAATTAGAGGCCTGGAAATGTCTAAATTTCAAGTGAAAAAATCCCACACACAAATCTAACTGCTGCAACTTGCAATGATACCAAGATATTGTTACTTTCTCCAATACCTCTTATAT